GACCACAGATGCCGAGAATGTAGAGGAACGGCATCACAACTTCCATCTTCTGCATCTGCACTCCAAGCGGGACACCAAACGAAACACCGGTTGACTCGTCGAAAATAGTCAATGAGGATCATGTCGAATGGCAACCTGAGGTTTAAACCTCCTAATAGAGTTGACGGGGAAGTGGCCTCGAGCGTTGGTCTCTCGGATGGCTGAAAAGACCAGAAATGTTTGCAAGCTGACGACGAAAACCATTAGCATATATAGTAGAGAACATGCGAATGGATGGAGGTGATGAAGAGAGGTAAAAACGATCAAGGCAACTCACGTCTGACTCGTTAAATAGCTTTGCAAATCTACGCTCTGTTTGTTGTATATTCACCGTCCCAGTAATATTGAGGCATTTCGGGGTGGCTGGATACGTTAGGGTGTTTTCGTCCTTCAATATATGAGACTTGGATTGAGGATGCGAGGATGAACTGCGCTCGAACTGAGGACGTTTCTTTCTCACCGCGAGCAAATTTCGATTCCTCATGAAAGTCGTTTCGGTCATTGCGCCTCCATAATAGGTCTTCATGGTTTCACTATCCATACTGCGGGTAAATCCTTGGTCGGCTTGTACACGCCCAAGAACTTGAACTTGTGGCGAATCATCGACATGCTTGAGCATAGACGTACCGACAGGCGAAGAAGGTAGGATGCGCGGAGACTCTACAGAGAGGGAACGACTCTTTGCAAGCACTGGTATCAGGCTTCTAGAGCGATCATCTTGCAGGCATTTAGTCTATACGGACCAGTTTCAGTGACAAAAAATTGCCCTTGAGGTGAACTTGCCTTGGGTGAGTGAAATTCGACGAGTTCCGACTTGTGTCTTTTTATGTTCAAGGGCATGACTGATGCGTATTTCCCTTCCGGTGGTCCTGAACTCGCCGTTGGGATAGCAGTATGGACCCTACTCTGATTGCTACCGAGGCGAGTCATTGGAATAGAGCCAAGGGGGTATTTCGAATTCTTCGGGTCTTGCGCCTTCAATCGAAGAGGTCTGCATTTTGGGAAGAAAGTTGCCTTGCACGAGTCTCGAGGTGCTAAAGGCCACGTCAAATGATGCATAAGGTCTAGAATGAGAGGGTCACCTTCAAGAATGAATGGACGGAAGTGGTT